GTCAAAGACAAAATGTCACTGTGCTTTAGAACTCCAGGACATCTTAAAAATCCCAAATAAAATTGCTTTATACAATTTAATGAATGATATTCTTAATGTCAGAGTTCATATATTAATGAACTGTTATGAGATTTTACACAGAAAATAATAAATATAGAAAGGCTTCCTTTCTATCACTTCTTTTGGGTGTGCACATCTGATATTGCCCAGGATTTATTCCAGGCATTTTGCACAGAAATCACTCCTGGAGGAGCTTGGGACTATACATACTGCTTGGGATTTCAATCAGGGTCCACCATCTGCATATGAAGTGCCTTAGTTCCTAAACTATCTTCTGACATTTTAGATACTTTTAATGTACATTCCATAAAGATAAGATGACTATATGAGACGACTGCATAATTCCTAAATGTTGACTTCAGGGAAGACAAGACGTTTTGTCTATCTGTAATAGTCACATATTCTTGTGAACTGCTATTTAAAATGATTACACCTTGTGAGGTGAAGAATTTTCCTTCATTTTACCTACTTTGGTTAACTATTTTCCCCTCTTCACAAATTATTTGTTTGCACAATGATCTACTTTAATTTAATTCATTTCAGGCAATAGGTTTAGGCCACAAAAAGCAGTGTCAGGATTCAAACTGATATCAGTCACACTCTGGATAAAAGCCTTAAATGGGTGTATGATCTCTCCAGCCTCTGGACAGTGGATTTCAGAGATTTGAAATGGAAATACTTTAGGAGGACATGTGAATATATGCTCACATCTTTGAGGATTTTAGTTAAACTGAATCTGTATTAAACTGTATTTACCTTTAAAAACTGGATAACTGCATTTACCCTGTGAAAGTTTTCCAAGAAGGACACATGTAGATCAAGGGATCTTGAAGGTTGGATGTTTTGGCTGAATTCTGCTGAAGTTGAGTAGGCAGCATGGTGGCATTTGGGCATTGTTTATTGATGCCTTTCTTATTCGCTTTATTTCCTTTTAAAAATTTATCTAGCATATTTTTCACAATGAAATATATTCTAAATGTTAGAAAAGCTTTATTCCATCGCAGACATTTTTCATCACTCCCCACCCATGTGAGTGCTTACTTTCTAGATGTGTTGAAATGCCAACAAAACATTTTATGCATGCTCTAGCCAAAACTGGCTTAATAATGCTTCTTTAACAGGAAAGATATCCCCAAATTTAACAGCATATCATTTTAAACTACCTTTTCATGGCAGCATTAAAAATTAATGAACAAAATTTTTATTATTAAAATGAATAAAAAGTAATGACAGACCTCGAATTTGAAGGTAAAATGATGCCTTGAGAGCTACAAGAAATGCTAAATTTTCAATAGGTTGATGTTTTGGATGTATGGTTTAAATTCACAGGAGCTGAGTTTTGCTGGCATGAACTTGGTTGGAGAGCAAAAGGTTTGCTCTTTTCTAAGAAATGTTCTTAGAGGAAGAATGTCATGTTGCCTGGCCCATGTCTTAATATATATATTTTTTAATTTTTGGTTCACACCCAGTAATGCACAGGGTTACTTCTGGTTCTGCACTCAGGAATCACCCCTGGTGGTGCTCAGGGTACCATACAGAATGCTGGGAATCAAACCAAGGTAGGCCATGTGCAAGGCAAACGCCCTACCCACTATGCTATTGCTCCAGCCACACGGTGTCTTAATCTTGAGACTACTTTCTTGCAGTGAATAATCTCACTAGGTCTAAAATTCCTCGTTTCATGCCCCAAGGCCCATACTAGATTGTGAGATGAGCTTTGACCATTTGAGTCATTTGTTGTAACAAATTCAGGTCTTTGAATTTTTTTCCTATACACACCTGCTTTGTTTCCATTCCCAAAAGCGTTTTAGTAGATTGACTTATTAATATGTCATCAGATTCAATTTTCTGAGGAAGCCAACATGGAAAATTCTACAAGACGTCGATAATATATGTCTTATATTAAAAAATTACCTTTACATTTTATGTAATAATTGATGATTATAGTTAATTCTGTTATTTCTACAATATTCAGAAAGTGCTTTGGCTGTGATTTTAGTTTTTCAAGTGTCAGGAGTGTGACCTTCTATCTTATTAAAATGTCCCTAATTTTTTTATGTGTGTAATTTATTTTTTATAGAATAAATAAGTGATATAATGAACTAAATGATTTAAACCACTAATCTTCTAGCAGTTTAAATATGGTGAGTTAGGGCATACTTTAGTAAATAATCATAAGTAACAAGTTCATTTTTAATGACAGCAAGCACTCACAAATGAAATTCTACAAATTATTTGCATTCATAATTAATCTCAAGTTTGAGACTAGGATAAGATGCAGGGGGAAATGTCCATATATACATTCTTCAAAACTACTGTCTCTAGTAGATAGTTTGGGGGAAAAACGCGGTTTACTCACAACATCCCAAGACTTAAACTACATTTACAAATTTTATTGTTCAAATCTGTAAGCATAAATAAGAAAAGCTCATCATTCTGCTGTCAATACTCAAGTAGAAGCAGTAATTTCAAAGACCAGATTTTTTTTTGACATTGCTAGAATATTCAACACAAAAGATAAATGAGAGGAAGATAAAGAATGAAATAAAGAGTAAAATCAGGTTGTTTGCAAAACCCATTCTTTTTTTTATTTTTTTCAGAAGAAGGAGCAAAAATTTCAGGTGAGCTATTACAGTATTAACTCCTTAACAAAGACCTTAGAAAATAATGGCTTCTGGAAAACTTTTGATTTTACATTTTCCTTTCACACTGTGTGATTCTGTATTCTATTTCACAGAACAATGCCCTTCTGAATGCTGTCACTCTCACAAGTGGTATGATAGCTGTCAGTGATTTTCAAACGAAGCTGAATAATACGTACATATCTTATTTCAACGCGTTCAAAACACATGGACCTGTTTTGTTCAGAAGGGGTAAAGTATGTGGCCATAAGGTGAAGCCTCACTCACGCTGAGGGACCAAACAGCATGGAACCACATGCTTCATTAGTGATTCTCCTCATAGCAGCTGGCCAATGGATCATGAAAATGAATCAGAAATATTAGAGCTATTTTATAGTTCTTTCATTTTGCACATTCACAAGCAATTATGAACAGTTGGATTCCACCTTTCAATGGGTTGTATTTTGGTATTCTACTTTTATCTTCACACATTTCTATTCTCAAACCTTATCTCATACAGTTGTTACAGATAGCAAACCAATTTGAAGATTCTAAAGTGGAGGATCTTTCAGGAAAAAAAAATGGATGTAAGAAAAAATGCCTTCTTTTTAAAATGGAAAACAGCTCACAATTGTTTTGAAGTATATCAAGTCATTCTGTTTAAAGACCAGATGAGAACAAGCATTGGGTGTCTTTCTCAATATATTAAAGCAAAACTATAAATCAATCAGGTAATATTAAGACCGTTTTTTTTTAGTTTGGTTCTTTCTAAACTAGATAGAAGCAAAGAGAGCATGTACTTAAAATAATTAATTGATATTTAAAAATTATTTTACATCATCCTATGTAAGACTGCAGACACTGTCATTTATTCCATGTTATTTCTGAATGGACTACCACTTCAATATCTTCTTCCCCTGGTATCTAAGATTAGTTCCTATAAACAAGTAAAACCAAATATCTTGTTACATCAAAAGTATTGATTACCCTTATGAAGATCAATAGCAATGATTGTTTTCAAAGTAACCTTGAATTATTATAAACATCCACTTTGTTTTTATTTGTTAAAGTACAACATTATATATCTTAATAAAGAAGATTAAAGAAACCGATTAACTGAATATTTTATTGAAAATTTGAGATTTTTGGTTTGGGGACCATACTGCACAGTGTTTAGGAGCTCCTTCTCACTCTGTATTCAGAACTCACTCCTGGCAGGGCTGAGGGTACCATATAAAATATACCGCTCATACAAACTAACTCTCCAGCTTTGAAGTTCAAGTTTTGTTTGTTCTTTGAAGGTAACTTTTCAAATTACAAATTGAAGTAAATTGCGTTATCAAATTATATCATGCTTTAACAACAACAGCAACAAAAAATGAAAACAATGACAACAAAACCCTAGTCAGTTAACTGTGTTACAACCTTGTGAACTTTGACTTCATGGGAAGTAATGTTTAAAAGACATATGTAATTATTAAAAGTGGCAACTATTCAAAAATGTATTTTATTTCTAATATAGCTTAACCATTAGAAATCTGCATCTAAAGAGCTGGCAATATATGTTTGAAAAGAAAAAAACATTTAATGGGAGCATTCTTTCAAATGAATTAAATGGAAAAGAAAAACAGAATATTCAAATATTATTTAAAGCTCTAGGTAATTTTACATATCATGTAATCAACCATGTGATGTTCTCTCTAACCAGCAGACTCACCTCACATATAATTTTTGAGGCAATAATTTTATACGATGAAGCAGGACTATTTATTTCACGCGAATAGTTATGATTTAACTTTCATTTCTGTCAGCATTAACCTTTTTGCCTAGTAGAATTTCTCAAGTTAATTATATAGGACCAGATTTTCCTAATCGAAGATGTCATTGAAATTTCTCAAATTATAAAAGTTAGTACCCATCATAAGCAATCCATTAACAATCATTCACAACTTTTTTCCTTCAGATCACTTCAGTTCTTTTTTTAATTTGCACTAGTAACATAGATAATTTAATAGCATGCTCTCCAGCCTTTACTACAAAAGCTCTTTTCAAGGTCAACTCTAACTTGCAGCATGCCAATTCTAAAAGGCATTAAGCCCTTTTTCATCTTGTAAGATTTATCCATGGCCCTTAACAAAGTTGACCATTTTTTTTTCTCTTTACCATATCAACATTTGTCTTCCGTGACAGGATACTATTGTAATTCCTTACTAGCCCATAGGATAATACTTAGGAATATTCACTCTCTGTAACTCATCTGGCTGAGGATATTCAGAACTTGATTTTAATTTTTATTAATTTTTAATTTATTTATTTTTTCAGGGGAGAGCTTGAATACAGCCCCACATTACCACAAATTTTGCAGTCGAATTTCCCACTTTGGGGGAAAATCACAGGGGTCAGTACATCCTGCTTGCAGTGGATAAGCCTCGCCCTGGGAAATTGACCTTTGTAGTCATGGTCTCTCCCCTGTCAGGTAAGTATAATTTCATAGATAGATAGATAGATAGATAGATAGATAGATAGATAGATAGATACCCACAGCCTAACTCATCTTTGGTCTCCTTAGGGGAGGTTTATACTTTATATGAAGTTGTCTTCACATTTATACTTTGACCGAGAAGACAAGCTTGATTTTTAAGTCTCAATATCTGGTAGCTTGCTGATAGCTTTATTTAAATCCCAAACTTCTCTCCCATCTCTCCATCTCTCTCTCTCTCTCTCTCTCTCTCTCTCTCTCTCTCTCTCTCTCTCTCTACTGAATCAGTGTGAGATACATTCACAAAGCTTTGATGTTTGAGTTTCAGTCATACAATGATCAAATACCCATCCCTCCACCAGTGTACATTCTCCACCACCAATATCTCCAGTATATTCCACCCCCCACCACACACACACACTTTTCAACCCTCTCCCTGCCTTCATGGCAGACAATTTCCCCCATACTCATTCTCCATTTTGGGGCATCATGGTGTGCAATAAAGATACTGGGAGGTTATCACGTTTGGTTCTTTATCTACTTTCAGCACACATCTCCCATCCTGAACCATTCCTCCAACCATCATAGACTTAGTGTCACTGTCCACCTGTTGTTCATCAATTTGCTTGGGTGGGCCCAGTAACGTTTCCATTGTGACACTTGTTACTGTGTTTGGCATATTGAATGCATCACCAGGCTTTGCCATGTGGGCGAGATACTCTCGGTAGCTTGTGGGGCTCTCTGAGAGTGGCAGAGGAATCGAACACGGGTAGGCCGTGTTGGCTGCTTGCAAGGCAAAGGCCCTACTCACTGTGCTATTGTTCCAGCCCAATTAACTTAGTGATTCCTTGTATATTCCAGCTGCCTTCTCCCCTCGCTAATGAAGCAGGATTCCAACTATGGAGTGATATTCCTAGTCCTTGTTTCTACAGTTCTTGGGTGTTAGTCTCATACTATGTTATTTTATATTCTACAAATGAGTGCAGTCTACAAATGAGTCTGTCCCTCTCTGACTCATTTTATTTAGCATGATACTCTCCATGATCATCCTCTTATAAACAAATTTCATGACTTCATTTTTCCCAACAGATGCATAGTATTCCATTGTGTAGATGTACCAAAGTTTCTGTAACCAGTTGTCTGTTCTCGGGCACATGGGTTGTTTCCAGATTCTGGCAGTTGTGATCAATGCTGCAGTGAACATACAATTGCAGATGTCATTTCTACTGTCTTTTTTTACGCCCTGGAAATATATCCCCAGGAGTGGTATTGCAGGGTCATATGCAAGCTCAAATTCTAGTTTTTTAAGGAATGCCCATCTTTTTTTCTTAAGGCTGGGGAGTCGAAGATACACATTGCGTAGGGGCCACCCCGGGGCTAGTTATTCAGTGGCTGCTCAGGGAATCCTGTGCTGAGAGGTATTAAGTCTCTTGTATGCAAATCATACATTCAAGTGAGCTGAGCTCTCTCCAGCTCCTTCATTTTTACAAAATTTGTTTTTGTAACTGTGGTTGTACCAGTGGCACCTGGTTATGCTGAGAATCATCCTCGGTAATATGAGTTGGTGCTCGGGATTGAAAGCAGGACTTCCACCCACGACAGCATGGACTTTAGACTGAACGACATTCCAGGTATGCAAACATTTCTGAAATGTAACATGTCCAAATTAAACTCAGTTCTACTACACAATAGACTTGTTCCTTCTCACATATTCAATGCCACAGTCAACCCACTTGTTCAAGATAAATATTTCTAGGTCATAGTTAATAATTTGATTTTAACATCTTATCATATTGGGCTGGAGCAATAGCACAGCAGGTGGGGTGTTTGTCTTGCATGTGGCCGACACAGGTTCTATTCCTCCACTCCTCTTGGAGAACCCGGCAAGCTACTGAGACTACCTCCCACACAGCAAAACCTGGCAAGCTACCCGTGACGTATTTGATATGCCAAGAAGAGTAGCAATGATTCTCACAATTTGTTGTGAGATATTACTGGTGCCTGCTTGACAAATCGATAAACTATGGGAGGACAGTGCTACAGTGTTATTTATCATATTATATTTATTTGGAAGCCTTTCAGGTCTGTAATCATTATTCTTAAAATAAAAGCACAGGTTATTATCTCTGCCTTTTTTAATTGATGGCATTTCAGTTGAGACATTACTGAATATTGTTGGAGTGAAAGAAATAGTCTTAAAATGATATCCTCCAAATCTATTTTTTTCTCTACAAAAACATAATTGACTCACAGTAGCTAAATACCTGTAGCTCCTCGTTTAAAATATAACTGATTTTTATATGTAAAGAATAAAGTCCAGACTTAGTCAAATATTTCCTTCCTTCCTTCCTTCCTTCCTTCCTTCCTTCCTTCCTTCCTTCCTTCCTTCCTTTATTATTTTCTTTTCTTTTCTTTTCTTTTCTTTTCTTTTCTTTTCGTTTTTGGGTCACACCAAGTGATACTCAGAGGTAACTCTTGGCTCTGCTCTTATAAATTTCTCTTGGAAGTATTTGGGGGACAATATGGGGCTCCAGGGATGAAACCCACGTTGGCCACATACAAGAAAAACTCTCTACCTGCTATTTGATGTCTAGGGTCCCAGTCAAATATATTTAATGCATTATGCCATGTCAACCCTTGAAAAATCATACAGCATTTTGATTATATTATCCTGCATGATTTCTCATTTTCAAACAAGTTCTTTTTCTCTGATACTCCAGTACCTCGAACACATTGCCTTCACATTTGGAAGTCTCAACTTCTCTGTCTAGAATGGCCTTTTATTTTTCATGAGGCAGATGCTTTGTCATACATGACCTATCTCAAATATTACTACTTAGGTTTATTTCACATTATTCATTTTATTCTGTTTTTAATTTATAAGTAAGTGTAAATGTATTTTTATATTATTTCTCTCACTTTTTATTCCTTATTTCACCACCAAAATTTAAACTATATCCCAGAAACAACCATGTCTTCTCCACTGATCCTCAGAAAAAAAAATAATTGATGAAGAATAGGGTTCAATATTTATTTTTTTCAACAAGATAAGTTAATTTCTGTAGTATTTTCTTCTTTTATAAAAACAAAAATCAACAAGTGAAAATATGCACTCCTACCTGTTAATTCTTGTTCTAATAATGACAGACTCTTCTCTTATAACTGTATACAGAGCTCTTAAATTCTTTGTGTCCCAATTATTGTGAAGGATTTGACTAAATGATGCAGAAGCTCTTTCACCATGATTTCTTCTCAGTGATTAAAAAGTCTATAGAATATAGAATAATAATATTTATATTTTCTTTTTTCTTAGATGTGAGGACCAACTGGGAATCTCATAATCTGGGGGTATTTGAGTATGTATATGCAATGATGAGATGGACCTATTTAGGATTATTTTTCCCCTGTTTTCCATTTAAATCAACACTTTGAAGCTCTGCAGTTTTCTAGATGTGCTGATGCTTAAAAATATGCTTGTTATTATAATGTGATAGTATTCTTGACCTTTGTTTTCTATAAAACTTTTTTTGACACTCCCATGGCCCTTTCTCAATAAATTAAAACTTTCTTAACTTTTTTTATATGTGATACAGAGAGTACCACCTGTAGTTGTATTTTATTATTATATATGTGCTTCACATAAAAATACAGTTCTTCAGTTACAACAAATTTAAAAGGAATTTGCTTAAAAATTAATGGAAACCTACTTTACCTAGGTACACATTAGAAACAGGTGTTTTGTTATAAAAATCTTTATTCTGTAAGAACCCTTTTACTTAGGGACATTTTAGTCTTTGAAGAGTGAATATTCTCTTCTATAAAGATGAATATTTCTCTACTCTTGTACCATTTATCTTTTAATTTACACTTTGAAAGATTTATAAAAAACAGAAGATCTTTTAATTATTCAATCCTGTGCATGTTTTGCATTAGTCTTTTGCATGAGTACATTAAGGTAGGTACATCTTTGGAAGGGGTAATCAACGATGTTGTTATGCTATTTTATTATTCATTTTCCATTTGAGGACTGTTTTATAGATATTGCGTATTAAATGTTAAAGAATTCTGAAATTTTTTGTAGCAAAATATTCTTTAGGCCAACTGTGATTCACTAGAAATAAGCACTTTGCATCATGTCTGCAATCATTATCAAGACTTAATTTGAACACATGAATGGAAGCTTCTTTTGGTTTTCCAGTTGCCAATTCAGTCATCTCTATTCCCAGATGTTAATCACCATTATATAGTGTCACATTAAGTGATGAAAGAAAAAAGTCCTCATTTTCTGTTTTAGAAAGAATGTGTACATCATATGAGACAAAAATTGCATACTAATAGAGTATGACTTTTACTTCATTTTTATATCATCTGCCTTTTAAGTATTTGATTTTCCATAAAGTATGCAATATGTTCTTTCCAGAGTATATAATAATCATGATTCTCCATTGAGTGAAATTTTAAAATATTCTCAAAATAATAAATACTATTGGCAAAAAATAATAAAACATAAATATACTTAAGAAGTCATTCATTCTTGCAATGAAGACACCTTAGGAAAAAGATACTCTGTTCTGAATAAGAAGTTTTTCTCTATAGTCATAAAAGCATATTGTAGGATAACAATTGATTTGTCCTTTCTCCCTTGCCAAAAGGTGCTTAGGTTTATCAAGTTATACACAACAGTATTCCCGAGTCACTTCCATTCCTTTGTTTATCTGTAACCACTTCTATGCTCTCCACCCCAACCAGTTAATCAGCTTTTCCCCAAATCACAATCTGTTTATTTATAAGGTCAGATCCTTCTAGGACACTGAACTTGTATTATAAGTTAATATTGCCTTTCTCTTCTCCTATGTCTTTTGAATAGTTTAATGCTATGTCTTTTTTGTATAGATACAGGAAGGCAGAGGAACAAAGGCATGCGAGTCCCGGGGCTGAGATCTCCAAGCCTGCTTCACACACCTCCTCCACACCCACCAACTGCCATCCCCGGGCTGTGTAATCC